CCTCAATTATATGCAATTACAGTCATCAGACAAATAACCATTTGGAGTTGGAGTGATGGGAAATTTTTGAAAACTAAATGGTGCATAAAAAGGCAAGATGGGTTTTACACACAGACGGAGAAGCTACTTGTCTACGGCTGGACTGAGCCGGAAAATCTTTACCCCCAGCGTTGGTTCGTCCATGATGTCTGAAATGAACCCCCTGAAAGCAGCCACCTTAATGAAAATGTTTGTGTCTGGAAGGAGGTGCGTGCCTGAAGTATCGACCTATCATCAGTGTACCTCAAGTTGCACAGAAGGTAGACTCTGAAGAAGGGAGCTCAAGGAATACCTCGGCGCCCTCTCTCCATCCACTGTCCGCTTTTATCGTCGTCTTAGCGCTAATTACATTCTCAAAGATCCTCCTTCCCCTCTGTGTCCCTCCGTCTTTTTGTTTCCATCTTCCTCCCTCCTTCCCTTTCTGGATGGACTGTTCCTCCTCCTCACAGCACACACTTTACATGAGCGCAGGACGGTCTTCGTCTTGCTCACAGCTATGTCCCAGCACCTAGAACAGTTCCTGCCACGTGACAGGTGTGCCTTAAATCTTTGTCGAAGGGATGAATATTTCAGAGTATGGAGTTTTTCTCTGGTGGATTTCCATAATGGCAACCGGAATGGAGCCCAGGGGAGAGAGAAAGATGCTGTCAATGAGCCTCCTTCACAGCTTAGCGTGAAATTGCTCCCACTTTTTGGAAATTTCCAAGTGTGTAATGTTCCCAAAATATTCCTTAAGATACTGATAAGTCCAAAAAGAGGGATATTCAAATTGAGAAGTTCTACTTGTGTTGTGTTTCATAATTACCTCAAACATTCATCATATTTGTATTACCCACAATATCATTCAAGGTTTCATAATTACCCAAATTCATAATAAGCCGACATTAACAGTGAGACACTGTGGTCGGGGAGGGGTGGGGACGGGAGGGGGGATTGGGGGGTCTCGGGAGGGGTGGGAGTGAGAGCAAGCATTCCTCACACTGGGCGCAGCTCTCCGTCCTGGAGACCCGGCTCACTCCGCGTCCTCCTTCTGGAAGAGCTGAGGGAAAATCAGAACGCTTGAATGCGTCAGCTTGGGATTCCAATCAGTTTCTTGATACAAGGCTATGAGAGCTACTCAAAATTTTCTCTTACAACTGAAAATGTTACCTTTAGGTAAAGCAGCATCTTGAATATATATTTTCCCAAAGAAATCGTTCCAACCAGATGGTTGTTTCTATGGCACTAGGACTACACCCATGGATCGCAAATATTAAAGATAATCAGTATCTTGCAGCAAAAAGAGCCATCAAAACAGGTTAGACTTATGCTATTTTGATTGCTGGTTTACACTGGGAACAAGGGGTGGTACCCGGTGGGGCTGTAGATAAAGCAGACACTTTTAAAACTTCACTGTGGACTCTCCTTTTATATGGGCTGCATTACTGACGGTAAACGGTGTGGTTCAGGGCTCTTTACACACACTGTCTCATGAATCCTCCCAACAGCCCTCCCCGGGGTGCAGATTAAGGCGAGAAGAGATTAAATAATTTGCTGGAGGGCACTCAGCTAGAAGTAGCGAAGCCAGGGTTCAAACTCACGTTCTGGAGACCTGAATTTGGGGGAAAATGATGGACTTGGAAACCTCCCAACCCTCCTTCTGCAAAACTCATGGAAATATTGGCCGATACATGAAAAACTTTTAAAGGCACAGCTGAACTTGCACGAAAGTAAAGGAAGTCCTCTGGGTTAAAAATGAAGAAGCTAAACTGTAGTGGAGCGAGCAAGCTGGCACCGGGCTGCCCTGTGGGGACTTGCTCTTCCCGGTCACAGAGCTCTGGGTTTAATGGCCTCCAGACCTCCTTGGAGCACTAACTCTCTGCGTCTATGAGTACAAGGGACACAGACGTCAAAAATTAGAGGACAAGTCCAACACCGAGAGCCATACTTCTCTACACAATCATCCCCACTGCCCTCATTGTAGCAGTATTTTACCAGTAAAATTTGGGGTGAAGAAAAGAGGAAGAAGAGTTAGGAAGTTAAATGGAATGCCAGCTGAAGAGAGATGTGTGATTGAAATGTCAAATTCAACAGTAAAGACATGAAATACAGGAAAATGCAGGAATGCATAAGGCACCTTTTTGTCTGTCTGTGTGCTAAACCAGTCCTGCCAACAAAGGACAGTCGTCTGCCACATAATGAGTTTTTCGTCAACAACGGACTGCATGTATGACAGTGGTCCCATAAGATTAGCACCATATCACCTAGGCGTGTGGTAGGCTATACCACCTAGGTTTGTGTGAGTACACAACAATTAAACCATCTAACAATTAAATCACCTAACGATGCATGTCTCAGAATGTATCCTGTCGTTAAGCAATGCACGAGTGTACATCATCTTTATTCACATTCACGCCTTGCTCTGTGGATCCAGAAGACACGGCATGTTCTCTTTTGTGTCTTCATTTATTTTTCATTCCCACTCCATCTCTGGCAACTTTCCCTATAGCCTAGAAGGTTTCAACTCATCTCTTTCTAGACCCCAGGATATCCATTAAAACTGTTTCCTGGGATACCTTGAAAGTTGAGTACAAACACTGCAACATTCAGGTGAAAGTTGAGTACAGCGATTTATTCATATGTTGGTTACAAAAGAAACACAAAACACCAAAGAAATGTGTTCCTAATATTTAATATTAGTGTTTCTAATACTTAATTCGTGAAGCAACCATAAAAGTAGGTAGGTACATCTTCTGTGGTACTCTGGCCAAAAACACATGACCTCTTCCAATCGTGAAAAAACGTCAGATAAACCCAAACTGAGGGACATTTTACAAAACAACTGATCAGTACTCTTCAGCAGGGTCAAGGTCATGAAAGACAAGGGAAGACTGAGAAACAGTCACAGACAAGAGGAGACTAAGGAGCAATGACAAAATGCCGTGTGGGATTCTGCATTGGATCCTGGTACAGCAGAAGGGAAAGAGTGAAATTCAAATAAAGGCTGAGTCTAGTTAATAATATATCCAATGTTAATTTCCTATTCTTGATAATTGTACAATAGTTATGTAAGATGTTAACATTAGGGAAAGCAGAGTAAGGAATATATGAGAACTCTCTCTGTACTACTTTTGCAACTTTTCTGTAAGTCTAACGTTACTTTAAAATATTATTTAAAAATATTTTTTGAAAGTAGATAATAGTAAATAAGGCAACCACAGTTTTCTTCTTGACTCTATTGACTATTTTAGAATATAAATTGCATGATATCAAGACGCTTACTTATCCCAGCCACCAAATTTCATGGTGGGAAAAAAAAAAAAAAAGAAAGAAAGATAAAGTGAACACGACATTTGCGGAGATCACTGGGGGTAGTCTTCTCATTAATTTATTCAATGCCTTCTTTTCCTGTGTTTCAGTGTTTGGAACAGAACCAGATATGATCCGGGATGGATCAACCACACCAATTGCCAATATATTCCAGGATGTTATCCAAAAGAGTGTGATGATGCTCCCGCTGGGCACTGTGGATGATGGAGAGCACGCGCAGAAGGAGAAAATCAACAGTGAGCAGGTTCTTGAGGGGGCTGATCTCTCAGTGTGCAAACCACAGGGTGTCCACATCAGTAACCTTCCGACATGCTGCATATTTTAGATTGAATTTATGTCATCAAATCTTCCTGTTTAAATTGTACACTACTTTTCCTCCATTATTTGAATGGAAATAACAGTTTCTCTTTATTTCTTCTTTTGTTAGGTGGAACTACATAGAAGGATCCCAATTATTTGCTGCCTTTTTCCTAGAGACGGCTAAGCTGCATTAACAACGACGGGAACCTTCCAGCTTACATCTGAGCTGCTGACATATCCCCTCTCTCACATCCCTGGACAGGAATAGAATCTAAATATCCAGAGAATTTCTGTCCAGTAAATAATATTTTCCCTCCTTTAATACGTCTTTGGACATTTGGACCAGTAATAAACTA